TAAATTCCTAAAGATCACTAGCCAAACTGAGCCATTTGGAGAAATCCACAGCTAAAACTTGTGACAGAATTAAAAGTTTATACCTAAAGCTTGCGGAATGCAAAATTACTAGGAAATGCTTTTCTCCATGAAGAGAAGATAGATGTCTATCTCTGGTGGAATGGTTTTCATAACTCTGCCAGAGATTTTATATAGAACCAAGTCTAGAACACAATAATAGGCATAAAAAAGGAAAAACTGACTAGATCCACAGTGTTCTTCTTATTGGTTTCTGATAAAGGTCCGGAGACAAATTTTTCCCATTGTTCTTGGTCTTCTTCAGGCATCTCTGAAAATCAGAAAATGTAAGTAGCCTAAAGCTGGGGAAGGGAAGGAGAAGGTAAATAAATAGATTGAAGAATGATCTAGTCCAGAGCTCCCTAAACTTTGTGGACTGAAGGGTGGGACGGAAGAGGGGATCGTTCTAAATGTATGGCCAGCAAGCGACACATATGCATTTCCATTTGTGTGAGTGAAGGGCATGCATGGTTGCTGCTCACACAAATGAAGTGCACACCCACACATGCACGCTGCTTGCACAATTGAGGATGCGCACATATGCTCACCTGCCATTTCTGCAGCCTGGTTCCCAAAAGGCTCATGGCTCTGTAGTGGGCTATGGCCTGGGGGTTGGGGGCTCCTGAGCTAGTCCATAGGATGCAAAAGCACTGAGGTGTCAGAATAAATATCAGCCGTATTTCATAGTAACCAGAAGCCAGACAGCCTCAAAGAAATTAGTATTCTTTTTCAATGAGGCAACCTTTTCCTTGTTTAAGGAACACAGCCAAATAGATCCTTTCATAAAATCATGACATTTTAACCTTGATTTATTGACAAAACCTTTGTACCTTAGTTCATGTAAAACATTAAGCCAAAATCAAAAAGTCATCAGTGTGAAGCCCGTCACCTGTGGTTAACAGGTATTTTGGTTACACAGTTTAAGATGGGAGGTTTTTTGGCTAACAAAAAGTATATATCTATATTTAGGTACTAACTCTAGCTTCAGCCAGTAAATAATTGTGCAGCAATTTGCAAGTTCATAGCAAGTGGAAGTATGAAAAATAACTATTAATCAAGCTCACTATCAGGGGATTCTGGAGTTGTAGTCCTTCCTGCATTTCTTCCTGCATTTCTTCCCTCTAAATGTTTTGGTCAATTTGGTCAATTGCTCTAAGCAATTTCCCCAACTTTAAAACTGCCCATATATATATGAACAAAGAGAACATTTGCAGAATTATATGCATGCAGTAATTTAATCTAGCCTTTGAAGATGTAAAACTACAGAACACAAAACATTAACCATATTTTGCCCTATTACTGTCTCCACCTCAGCTGAAAACTTCCTCTCTTAGTAGCAGATGTTACTTCCATGCCAGACACACCTCAAAACTTTAATGGGAACCCATATTTTTCCCCTTCTAAAAGGCAGGAACTGAACTCCTATAAAGTTTCCAAAAGCAGCTAATAAAGGTACTTTAGCTAATCCTGAACAAGAAACATAATCTTCACCCCCTGAAGATGCCCCTCACATTACCTTTTATGAGCTGCTTGATGAGATTTGAGTGAGGCCACTTCTCAGAGCCTTGAGATAAGGCATTGGCAATCCGGGTGAGGTGCCCCATGTAGCCCTTGCGTCTTCCCCCATCCAATCTGTAGGAGAAGACAGAGGGCATGGAGGCTGGTGGTTGCTGTGGGTATGACTTGCATAGGTTGAAAAAAGAAATAAGCAAATAACAAGAGGAAGAGAGACTTTGGTGCTTCTATGGAGCTCATGAGTTGAAGCTATTCCGATTGGTCTGCATGCAGGGAAGAGAATAGAATTTCCAGATAATACTTCAATGCCCAGCAACTCCAGCCAACAGGGCCAATTTGAAAGATGCTGGAAAATACAGTTCGGCTCTATCTGGAGAGTAACAAATGAAACTGTTTTGTGAAGAAAGAAAAGAAGCCAGTAAATACCTCCATGAAAATCATGAGTAGAAGAGACTAGGCAACAGGGGCCTGAAGCATGAGGGAAGGAGCAAAGAAGGATCAAGATATGGAAGAAGTCCTTGGGATTTTTTCCGAAGGAAGAGGAGGGGAAATATCTAATCAGGGCGCTTAAACTTTCACCATAACTACTTACTGAGACTGCTCATTCTCCTCCCAGGCCGATAAAATTCTTTGGATTAAGCGACATTTCTGCAGCAACTACGAGGAGAAAATACGAGATAATTGATAAAATACCTGCTAATTACAGACATCAATGCTCACCCCTCAATAAAAGACTAGAGGGGTTTTATATGGCTATTTAAAAAAGTTTCTAGTGCTCATCACTTTAATGCAAAAGTCTAAGCTGAGAGTGGTGGTGATGGTTTCTGCCCAAAGACAAAAAGGAAGACTCCTGAGAACAGTTGTTAATCACTTCCTTAGATACTTCTTCCAGCTTAATAGGCCAGGCATTCACTTCTCCAATACAAGAGAGTATTTGTAGCTCAGATTTGAACTGCAGTGTCCTTGGTGCTGTCTGAACTTGGTTGTTTTCTTGCAGATGTTTCATTATCATCAGGGCTAGAATGTCAGTTGGTCTTACCTGAACTGTATGTCTCGAAGCCAGCGTGGGAGGAGTCACATGTGGGTATTAACACGGCCCATTTGCCCAGAGACTGAGGTAAATTTGAGGCCACTGCCATCAGGCAATTAGATATATCCCCTGTTACCACGGCAGAGGAGGAAGCCAAGGCTGCTACAGGAGGGACCTGTAAGGCTTGGCCCGAGAGAAGAATTCATGTTATAAAATCTGCGATCATTGCTCCCTGGAGTGGGGAAGGAACCAGGCTTGGACCACTGGGACTTGAGAACCTCTAGGAAGAGGTCTGGGGTGGGGATCTCCTCCTTCTCAACCTGGGGCCTGTGAAAGGGACCCTTCTTATTTCCCCCAGGAGTGGGATTAGTAGGGTTCTGGTTTGGGGTAGGGTCCAAGTCTGCTGTGGCTTTGGTCTTGCGTAGCAAGGAACTAAATAAGACAGGAGGAAATAGGCCCACAATGGTTGGGGCCTCTGGGGCTGTGGCCTCCTCGTCCTCTGAGAACCCAAGATCCTTCTGCTCCTCCCCCTCTGATTCTGAGCCCTCGCTAGCAGTGGAAGGTGAGGAAGCTCTGAAATCCCTGTAGGCTGAGGGCTTGGGCTCGACTGCTTGCTCTCGTGGAGCCTCACGAGTAGACCTATGCCTGGCTCCCTGAAATTGGTGCTGCATGTCTAATGCAACGCCATCCGCGATAGCCCTGGCTAACACATTTTGGAAGCTTTCAGAGAGTTATGGATAGGCAGGAGAAAGGCTTGGGGGTTCCCTGTTACCTCTGGAGCCAGGAGATTGAGGGGCCAAGTGCTGCCTGGGGAAACTCACTGCCCTGCGGCCAAAGGGATCACCCCTCGCCCTAGGAGAATGGGATTGTGACGAGGAGATAAGGAGCCTCCTTGGGATCTCTCTCTGGGCCTGGAGATCCAGGCTCCTCAGCCAAGGGAGAAGGCCTGGGAGGGGAATGTGATCTGGTTGGGGAAGGGCTGATGACATCCTTGGTCCTCCTGCCAGCCGCTCTAGTTAAGTGGGCCTCCTGCCTGAGCCCCTCCTTCCTGGAAGAGTTGGAGGATCTCTTCCTGGGAAGGGATCTCCCCCTCAACACAGAGTACACCTCCCGAGAGGTTCCCTTGCCTGGGTCTGAGCCCCCTGGGGAGCTTGGAGCAGCTGCTCCTCTGCTCCTGGTGGCCTCTGCCATCACAGTACACATAGTTCGTAGCCTCTCTCTCTCTACCTCCTCTCCGATAGCCTCCGGTCTCTCTTCTATCGCGCGGATTTGGCACTCTTCGCAGACACCCGCCGATCTGCGGGTCGAAAAGGAGACCGGTGCACTGCTGGCGAAAGGGCCCTCCCCAGATTACTGGTGGAGCACAGGCCCAACAAACCCTCCTGGGCGAATGTGGTGTTGAAGTGCTGTGGCTCCTGCGATCAGCACGCCTCTCGCTTTGCGCATGTGCTCTCGATTTAAAATGCCGATCGACCACACGGCCCAAAAGCCCAAGGTGACTCCGATCGAGCCGCTCTTCCCGCGCCGCGATGCCTCAAGGGATAATCTACACTGTCCTCGCTGCTTCTGTGAGGTTGGTGGCGGTGCGTGAGCTCTGAGCCCCCTCCCTACCGAGTGCCGGTGGCTTGGGGCCTGCAAAACTGCAGCGAGAGTAGCTCGTGCGCAGGCAGGAAGAGCGTGCAGGAGAGAGAAGTAGGAGGATAGGAAGAAAGGTAGTGAAAGACTTTAGAACTTTAAAGAGATTTAAGAAAATTTAAAGAAATCCGGAGAGTCACGAAATAGCTCCTTTTAGGCCGAAGACTGAGGTTAATCTGGGTAGTCAGAAGGAGGAACAGAGGGAATGTCCTCAGATTTACCTCAGTCTCCAGGCAATTGGGCCCTAACAATACCCATCTGTGACTCCTCCCATGCCCCACCTCGGGGACTCCTAGTGTCTGTAAGGTGACAATTGTGTGATTCAAGACTCTCTCTGTGGCTTATAAAAAGGCCCCTTCTTGGTCCCCCCACTGGAGGTGGAGGCAGTAGCAATTTGGGAAGGAGCTGGGGTGCTATCCAGATCTGCAGTGGCCTTGTCTTACAAAGTAGGCAATCAAACAAGGCAGGAGGGAACAAGCCAGCGATGGCAGAGGTCTCTGGAACCTGGAAATCTTCATCCTCAGAGAAACCAACATCCTTCTGCCCCTCTTCCTCCAAGCCAGACCCCCACTAGCCATCGAAGGGGAATCCTATCTGTACTCCCTAGCTGCAGAATATTCGGATTGGTCTGGACGACCCCATGGGATACCATGAGAAGATTTTTCATCTAGAGGCCTGAAATTGATGCTGCATGCCCGATTTGATGCCCTGAGCAATGGCACAGGCAATCACATTCTGAAAACCTTCAGAAAGCTCTGGATAAGATGGAATGAGGCTAGGAGACTCTACTGATTGAGGAGCCAAGCATGGCCTGGAGGAAACTGCCATGTGGCCAAAGGGGTCTTCCCACGTGTTCTGAAGACTAGGCAGGAGACAGGGGAGGGGATAGGGGGCTAGCTTCCCTTGCAGAACCATGGGGGTGGGGGAACCTGGAGAGCCCAGTTGGATCTCTGGTAAGGATAAAGGCCTGAGAGGAGAGCGTGACCTGGATGGGTAATTCTCCTGCCAGCCGCTCTGGTAATGCGGGGCTCCTTGCTAGGCACTCTCTTCCTAGCCTATTTAGAGGTGGCCTTCTTCGAGGTAGACCTCCCCCTCATTACAGGGGTAGCTCCACGGGAGGTCCCCTTGCCCATAGCCTCCACCATCACTTCTATTTACAGTCTGTGCCTTCCCACATCCTCTCACTCTGTCGACCGGCCTGGGCTTCTGTGCGCAGTCCGGAGCTCCTTCGGACTGGCGCTATCCATAGCCACACCTCCAATCCGCGGCCTGAAGAAGCCAACCCACCACCAAACCAAAGGGGCCCTCCCTGGATCATCGGCGGAGCACAGGCCCGAAGAAATCCTCTTCTAACCCTGGTGGTGGTTCTGGGCACTTGCGGTGACTGAAATCAAGCACACTGATCTCCACGCCCCTCCATGTGCGTCTCAAGATGGCCACTGGCCAAAATGGCAACCGCTGACCATGAGGTCTGATGCTGAGCTGGCTCCAACCAAGCCGCTCTTTCAGGAGCCTATGGAGCGTTCCGTGACCCCCTCGGATGGATCCAGAGATTGCATGGTATAGCGCTCCGGCATGCGGCCTGGAGCTTTCCCTTAAACCGCCCAGCGGCTTGGGGGCTCCCCTGTAGTGCAGCAAGCCCGGCTTGTGCAAAGGAAAAGAATGTAAACAGCAGAGAGATGCAAAGGAGAGAGGTGGGAGCAATCACAAGTGGAAAAAAACTAAAAGACCAAATTTAAACAACAAAAACCTCTGAAGCCAAATGGAGAGTCAGAAAAGTACTCCTTCTGGGCTGAAGACTGAGGTTAATCTGGGGAGTCAGGAGGAGGAAGTAGAGGAGGTGGCCTCAAATTTACCTCGGTCTCCGGGCAAATGGGCCGTGTTAATACCCACATGTGACTCCTCCCATGCCTCATTTCGGAGACGGGAGTGAGATTTGCATCATTGATGATATTACCTAGTTGGACAATGAAATTGCAAGAAAACAACCAAGCTCAGACAGCACCAAGGACAACTCAACCCCCTCCTCTTCTTCTTATTATTTCAAAGTTGTCTCACCACCTTTATACTTACCGTATATGGTTCCTTTCAGAACCCATGAAATAATCCTAACCTTCTCTTTTCAATTTCCAAACATCAGGATTCAGGACCAAAGCAGAGTATCTGTATCAATGATGCAGAACGACCTTGAAACCACAGATAACCCATATAACTTACATGTTGGATGACTGGACTCTCTGGGTGGGGCTCCGAGTGGTTCTCTATTGTTTCATCTCCAACAAGAGGGCTGAAAATGTTGCTAAGGCAGGCCTCTATCTGGGCATGCAAGAAGTTGTTGTAGGTATACTTGAAATAGAGATCCTGACAGAGAGAGGCAAAAGGATAGAATAGCAGATCTTTATTTATGCTTTTCAACCAATGCCCCTAATTATCGTAGTATCAGTTATTCCTTCAGACATGGCTCACTGGCAATAGTTGTTATGTGTTCAGTGGTTTGTATTTTTATTGAACCATGATGCAGTTTTAGATCATCTTGTAAAATGGGTACTTAATATGGACAAGAAACCTAGCAGTTTCAAAAAAAAACAGATGCTCCTAGTTTTAATGGATGCAGCTCCTGAAATGTAATTGATTAGGTAGCTATATCAGAAACTTAATAGACAAATCTATGCATAATTAGATTCTTTCTCATCAAATATACATTTTGGAAATTTATATTAATATGTTGTTCTTAGATGGCTATTTTGGTTTGGCTTTTTAAAGTTTTTTTTTTAGCCAATAGTTGTCTTTTCATATACAACTCAAGGTGAGAGATATACCAATATTCCTGTGTTGGGCTGAGTGAGTGTGCCTGGGCCCAAAGTCACCCAGGTAGTTTTGTTTGTTTGTTTGTTTGTCTGTCTGTCTGTGTCTCTGTCTGTCTGTCTGTGTCTCTGTCTGTCTCAATATATCATACAACTAGCTGTACCCGGCCACGCGTTGCTGTGGCCCAGTCTGGGCATAGTGGGCGGCAGGTGGGTGCTGCCATTGGTCAGGACTTGGGGCTGCTAGGCCAGGCGAGGCTGGTTGTGGGAGACAGCGCCGGGGCTGTCGGCCTCGTTGGAAGTTGTTGAGCATTTCCTCGGAGGAGCTGCGCTTGGGCTCTCCCAAGTCAGTGGCCCAGGAGAGTGAGACATGCAGGATCTCGGAGGAGGAGAAGTCCTCAGTGTGCCGTCTCACGAGGCACCCAGGGACCGACCCAGCCCCGCTGCACCTCAGGCTGACAACATCGCCGCGCCGTCGGAGCCGCCTTGGCGAGGCCGTAGCTGGCTCACTGTGAGGGGGGGGGTGGAGAGTGTGCACAGCCGGCCTGAGGAGACGCTCCGCCTCTGCCAGAGCTCCGCTGGGCTGGCCAGGGGTAGGCCGGCTTAAGGGCAGGCGGCCGAGGGATGGCGCAGCCGCAGACAGCAAAGGCCCAGCGGGAGGGGAGGGGGAGGCCGAAGGGCTTCGGCTCCCCTTGGCGGAAATGGCCAAAGCTCATCAGAGGAGGGACAGGAAGGAGAAAGGGTGTAGCCGCAGCCCAGCCACACATATAAAGGGACCGTCGGAACGAAGCTGGAGAGAGGCCGAACTGTTCCAAATATACTATACTCACTAAATGAACGCTATAGTAAATGACACAGCTCAATTCCAATGCAATGTCACACGAAATAATTAAATCAAAATGAAAATAAATCAAAATATATGAAAATTCAATATAACAATGCAATCGCAAACATTGAAATGGAATCATAAAATATTTAGTATAGCGTGTGTTGCTTTTACGTCCACTAGATGATGCTGGTTTTCAAAAAATCATGTTTTTACCTGTCACAGGTGTGACATCTATATAATATACGTTTATAAAAACATTCGTGTATTCGAATGCAACGTTGTGTCAAAATTTCAAAGCTATCAGTGAGGAACTTTTGGAGATTAGCGATTTTGAAGAAACCATTACATTTTTATTTATATACATTAGATAATCTGTTGGATGGATATTCATTACAACTATTTTTTAACAAAATGCTTCTGTTGCTGTATATTTTTAAAAATTGCATTTAAAAAAATCCAGCCTCCTGGATTTAGGTATTAACAGTAAATTGATGGTATCCAACTGTTCATTTTCACTCCCGGTTGCTCAAATGACACTGTGGCAGTACTGTCTCAGTGTCTGCAGATTGTTTGGGTGAGGAGAAAGAGCCTGAGGTTCAAACCTAGGAAGACTGAAAGACTGTGGATATGGGAAGCACAGGATCCTGAAGAGCTCTCTTCACCTACCTACCTTACCTACCTGCCTGCCTACCTTCCTGAACCTAAATGTAATTTAGGGAGCCTCTTGGACTACTAAAAAATAAAGCTGCTGACACTTGTAGCTAGGAGGCACTTTGCATGATTCCATATTATGCATCAGTTGCACATGATCCTGGGTTGGGAGGCCCTGCCCTTGGACACTCATGCCTTGGCAACCTTCGTTTGGATTCCTGCAATGAAGTTAAGGCTTTAGTTCCCTCTGCACAGGTCCAGGATTGTTGAAGTTCTATCTATTTCTATTTCCTCTATAATATCAGAAGAGCTAACACATTCTATCTCCCATCTATGAAATACTGCCATTCTATAGCATCTGAGAAGTATGCCTTCTCTCTTGCTGTGTCTGTTCTGTGGAATGGCAGGTGCCCCATCTCGCCCCCAAGTCCTGAATGACTTGGATCTTGAATACTTTAAGGCAATCTTTGAAGACCTGGTTGTTCCCTTTGGCATCAATGAGCCAACGATATTTACTAATTGTGATTATGAAATGAATTTTGACTGAGATATCATAGGTGTTTATACACTATATATCTTCTGTCATTTCTTTTTCTTTTCTGAACAGTTTTATTAGAATTTTTAAAATTATTTTTAATGTTATGACTTTCCAGATTTGTTTGGTAATCATATAAATTGAATTACATTAATAACTTTGATATATCAGTATATATGAGAAGATATTACAGGTAGCCCTCATTTACTGACTGCAATTAGGTTTGACAATTCCATTGCTAAGCAGTGTGTTCATTAAGTGCAATGTCACATGACTGCACTGTTTTATGTCAATTCCAGCTGTGGTCATTAAGAGAATCACTGTGGATCATTAAGTGGGACATCATTTGACCTCAAACTCGCTACTTCCTGCTGGCTTCCCCATTGACTTTGCTTGTTGGAAGACGGACGAGAGAGTCACAAATGGCGACCACATGACTTTGGGATGCTGTAACCATCCAAAACATGTGCCAGTTACCACCCTTAAATCATGATCACGTGACTGTGAACATGAAGTCTGCAATGGTTGCAATTTTCAGGACCAGCTGTCTCATTTTTCATTGCTGTCGTAACTTTGAAGAGTCACTGAATGAGTGGTCAGTACTGGGATTGATTCTGAACTGGCTCACTTTTCTGTANTGAGCCGGTGAGATTTGAACAGCCGAACTGCAGAACTAGCAGTCAACTGAAGTAGCCTGCAGTGCTGCACTCTACCCACTGCGCCACCTTGGCTCCTGATGGAAGATGGTTTTGCTTTGGGGGGTGATAAAAGCTTGCTAGGCAATAGAAAACCTTGGGAGTGCAACTGCCATACCAAATGAATCCTGATTGGGATTTCCATGGCCACAACTCCACCTACTCTTTGAGCAAAACCTAGAGGATCCTCTAAGTCATATCAGCTCTGTCCGGGAGAGGGCAGCCAGATTTAGAAGTAAAGGAGGGAAATTCCCACACCAGAAAACCAGGAACATGCAGTTATTCTAAGCCCATCTCTCCATCCAAATCTCAGCAGCCTCCAAACAGTGAGAGAAGACAATTGGCTGATCAGAGGGGATGGGGGAGGGGAAGGGAGAGGACAGAACAGAATAGAAGAAGGGAAGGGAAGGGGGGAGGAGAGGACAACGAGAGGAGGGGAGAGGAGAAGGAGAAGGAGAGGGAGAGGGGAGGGAAGGGAAGGGGAGAGGAGAACGAGAGGAGAAGGAGAGAAGAGGAGGAGAGAGGAGGAGAGAGGAGAAGGAGAGGGAGAGGAGAGGGGAGGGGAGAAGAGAAGAGAGAATGGAATGGGAGAGGAGAGGAGAGAATGAATTTTGGGTGGTATTATTGTCCCTCTATCAAAATGGTGTTTGTGCAACGACATTCTTTCAATGAAATCCTGTCCAGGGAATACATAATTCAGGACCCAATGAGCAACAGGACATAAAAAAAATATAGCTGCCCGAGGGCTCAGTTGACAGCCTTGTGTCCACTTCATATTTCTGGAACTGCCAGTTGTAAAAAATTAAAAATGACTGGACCACCTTCCCTACCTTCATTTCTGCATTAAGATTATAAAGACGGTGCTTTTCTTCGTGAGGGGGTGGTCAATGAAGACGACAACTTCTCCAGGAAGGGTTACTTTTTTAAATAAAAAAACTAACTTGTGGGCTCTTTTTGTTTCCCTAAGCTGATAATATGCCCTTGAATAGATTTTCACACTGCAGTTCCTTCCTGAGCGATTTCATTAACATTTCTGCTACAGGATGAATTTTCCCCCTGCTATAAGATCAGCACTGCAAAAAGTGGAACTAATTGCCTACCTGAGTCTGCGGTGCAGCCAATAAGCAAGCATTTCTTTCTCTTCCCTGTCCGAGGGTGGGAATTGCACTTTTATTGGGAGGAAATGCTTGCTTGACTGTTTTGATTTGAGATATAGAGATAGAGATATAGATATAGATATAGGTAGAGGTAGAGATAGAGATGGAGATGGAGATGGAGATGGAGATGGAGATGGAGATGGAGATGGAGATGGAGATGGAGATAGAGATAGAGATAGAGATAGAGATAGAGATAGATAGATGATAGATAGATGATAGATAGACAGACAGACAGACATAGATTTAGATAGATAGATAGATAGATAGATAGATATAGATAGATAGATAGATAGATAGATAGATAGATATAGATAGATAGATAGAT